TTAGCATGCAAAGCCTTCTGATACAGCTCAGAGTCTGTATGGATACGGTAGCACACACTGTGTCCTACCCATCCGTCAAAGCTGTGGACTCACACGTGTAACAGTATCCGTTGATTTGGTTTTCACTAATACATAATATGTAATAGTTTGAATTGTATTGACACTTCGTAAAATATATTATACTCCTAGGTGTTGAATTTGAATTTAATTTATAGTGTTAAAAACAAAAAAACTTAAGAGAACGGGATTTGTATAAACAATTCCTCAACAGTTTAATGACCTCAAGATTAATTGCTTTGCGGTCAACACTATAGTTGACTGTTGAAAAAAGCACGTTGACAATATTTACTATCTAGTCTTGTTAGCTAATTTTCATCATAACCTGTAACTTATGCTCTCATCGTAAAACCAATCCTCAGGACCGATTTACTATTTCGTTTGATAAGTATTTTTGGCCATCATTTGCGTTGTTCTTTGTTCTTTAAGATGAACGTATGCGTATGGAGGTAGATATCATCATACGTACATATCACACACATTTAAAAATCAAATACAATAAAAACAATTACAGGGGGGACGTTTCTTTTTTTTATTTCGGATAGTTTTAATTGCCTCCAGGGTCATCGAAACAAAAAGAAATACACCACCTTCTCCTGTAGTTTTTATATTTTTAATTTGCTTGATGGTGAGTGAAATGAACTACATAGTACATAGGTCAATTTACAAAATTATTGACTCAGTTAAAATGTAAACATATTAAAACTCTCATAATTATACAAGCTGACATGACAACATAGTAACTTTCGTTATTTTCTTGCTTGCTTATTTTCCCGTAAAGTGTAACGTGAATTTTAAGTTTTAAGCATTTATTGATTCGTTTAAAAATATATAACATAACATCATAAACATTATTATCATGAGTAGTCTTTTCAAAAGACGCGATATTTATTTTAAAGTAAGTTATATTATTTATTTGACATGGTCTCCAAGAAACAGTACGTAAAAGCTTTACTGGTTCCTGTTTATTAGCTTTTTTATAATTTATATCATGAAACCGATTATTTATTGCAAAATAAGTCTCCTTTATTTTGCCCTTTAGTTAGCCCTCTCGATGTATTGAAATTAGGCTAAATCAATAATTTTGTCTTTTCATATCAAAAGATATACATACTAAAGTGAAATACTGAGTTTTAAATTCCCAACGCTAATACAATATATTTATTTTCTTTTTTTAGCGAGTTTCCTATATAGGGAATAAGCTTTAAAATGCCCATGTTATTCTTTTGGATAAAATGAAAACTGATGTAGTTTACTTGCTTATGGATATATGTTGATCGAATTTGGCAAATTTATTTATTTCATCCTATACTATTGACGCATGGTCAAAAATAATTTACCTTCCCCGTAGCAGCAGACCTAAGCACTCGTTAAATCTAATGTTATTTAAATTGGGAATAAATATGTCTTATTTATGGAAAGATTATAGTAAAATGTAATCAGACAAGTATAAATTCACTTAGGCTGCAGGTTTGCTGCGGCGGGGTATTTTTAATCTCTCTTGGAACAATTCGGCACTTGTTGCTGGGCCCGTGCTACAGGTGTCAATATGGCACACACCTTCACAGTAATAGATCTCATTTGTTGTAGCACTGTTTTTGTTAAAACGAATATAAAATGATATACCCTTTGTACCACATTATGATGGAATACAAAATTGAAACATAATTTTAGCATTGTTAGAGATTATTCATTTCACTAAATGATAATAGCCTTTCTTCCTTCTTTTCCTGTATAAATATTTCGTTGTTTGTGCGAGAAATGTTCACTGCTTGTTATGTTCTATGTCGTAACACCATAAGAATTCATCAGCTATGACCACTTTACGTGGCTCTTATGATTTCACATGATGATATTTTAAAACCCTTAAAATCCTTATTACCGGAACTTTGTATAAACCTACTTTTTAAAATTTAGTAAATTATTTACAAACGCAGTACGTTAATGTAGTCTTATTATTTACTTAAAGCGCATTAAATAAGATATACATTTTTACTATTGTATTGCCCAAAGCTTCTTTTTAGTACTGTATAATGTATCAGTGTTTGTTTGAAGCAGTGTGTATTTTAAATTATTTTTGAATTTGTCTGAATCTACTTAGTCCTTGATTTTATTCGCAGGTTCAGAAACCTTAGAAGGGATATTTCACCCCGTATCACGACAACTTTGGGAATCGATTGAGCGCCAGGGACTAACCCCCTCTTCATCCCCCCCTCATCCCCCCCTCCCCAACACCAACGATTGCAGCCCTCCGACGCCAAGATTAGCAGAATCGTTTTATCCCTTAATTGCATTAATTTGAACCTAGATCCAGGAGTATGATGCTGATTTAAAGATTTTTTTCTTATACGATCTTTTTTAAATGCTGTATAAGTAAATCTCCATTGTCGCTTAATATAACGCCGTTTAAGACAATTGTACTTACTGATTTTGTGTGTCTCAAACATTTTGTTTGTATAATGAATATTTGTTAATAATTTCTAACATATCTTATAATAAAAACAACAATTTCTGGTCCATAATCTTGTACAGGGGTTTTTAACAACCTAAATTACAAGAACGGAGAAGCAATGTTTAAGGTTAAAGCAGGCGTTGGTAACCCTGTTTTCTTTACTTCATTACTTATCAGCTTAATATACATATCGAAAAGCATACATATTCGATACATACATTTTCATACATTTTTTTTACATACATTTCGAAGTATACATTTTTTGTGTTTTGCATTGCTGCTAGTCTTATTAAAAATGTATAATGAACAAGCCTAAGCGTAGTGATTTCGCAAGCGCAAAAGATCGTATTATAGGCCCACGTTTTTTGTTTTCATAGATCTGGTTTCCTTAAATGTTTGACAATTCTATTAATATTTCATTTATTTTACCTGAAAACTTATTTTTAACCCTTTCTTAGCACAAAACTGATTTACCATTGATGTCTTCCTCTACAATTCATACTCTTCAACGAATTCACTTTTTACCGTATCGTATCAAAGCAATAATACAAGATTTTTTTGTATAGTACAGGTTTTATTTTCCATAGTCAACTAGAAAAGCAGAATCGTAGAAAATTGGGTAAGTGAATAAAGAACTCTCCAAAGAAAATTGAAAATTGTTCCTTCTTCTGCAACAGAGCTACATTAGTCTTCCTTACACTGCAGATGAGGCCTTCCTTCGTACATCTCTGACACGTCATTTGTCATTTATAGTTATGGACTCAAATCGACAAGAAAACCTTCATTACTGTGTGAAAGTATGTTTATAAGAAATCGTTGATTTACTAGTAAAAGTGAACAGATCAAAAAATTATACTTCATTAAGGAAAGGAAACGGCAATTATTGAAAACAATTTCTGTAAAACCACCAGGAGTATCGATGTGTTTTGCTCATTTCCCTCTATAGATTTTATTCTGCTTCAAAATACCAAATAAAGTTGTTCCTATCTAAATCAATTACAATTCAACTAAATTTACTCGTACGTGTTTACGTACAACCTTACACTTTACACTTTACCAGTGCCCACCTTTAAATCTGATGGTGTCTGGTTCCATTTCAAGTGAGATCGTTTCCAGACCCAGATGTCATTGTCATTGGGTTAATATATAATATATTATAATATACATTGGCCTATATAACATAAAGGCCGATGTTAGATTACAAAAGACCAAGGTTAGGACCATTCTCTTAAAAAGCGTTTAAATCTCGTTCGGCGAAGAAGAAAACACACACCAAATAAAAAAACAATAAACGAAATATTCCTCAAACCAAAACTTTTACATTTTTGACTTTGTCACTTTTGAAGCAGCGAGTCAACAATTTCTGAATTGTATTACAACTAGTTCCTGACTATACTACGTTGATAAGTTAGTTTAAAGCTTTATTAGTTATTAGTTTGTATGCTTTATTTTACTAGAAAAAGACACTTTTATTCTATTATTATCAATATTTTTGTGGAATATAGTAAATAGTTTGCACACTTAACAACGTGTTTGAGATGTTCAAGACATGTGGGCGAATAGTTTGACAAGGTATAAACCCTCTGATAGCTTTTAAGTGCGGTTTGATGTTGAGTCATAAGATTGGCCTTCTGTAAACCACGTGATCAATATGGTCAACTTTGGATGCAGCTTTAGGGTTTAATATGATATTAGTAGGACATCAACTAGTTCCGTGCATACTGATCTAAAGGCTAGCACGCGTCAAACGATAGTGTGAAATTACAGACTTCGGTTAATTGTATTCACACATACGAGTATTTGTCATAACATTTCAAGTGACTGACAGTTTAAAGTTATAAACGAAATTTGTATTTACATGGGTTGGTATGTTTGATTAACTATCTCAAATATATTCATTTAAAACATTTTATTCTCAAGATTCATTATTGTATGGGATCAAATATAGTATTTAGCTATCAAATAACATAGTACCTAGATTTTCATATGCTACTTACAAGGTAGGCGTCCAATTGAAATATCCTTTTACCTTTAGTGATGCAAAAAGGCCTATTTTCTATTCAATGCTTAAGAACAGAAGAGATCCTGCAAATTATATCTCCAGAAATTGTTCACATCCATTTAGTGAGATGGATGTGGAATTAAAAGATATTTTAAGCGTCTAGTGCTGCTTGATAACAGTTAGGAATTAGGATCAGTGTAAAACTGCCCATTTATTCCCTTTATACTGGTTTTAAAACATTTCACTCTAAGCACAGAAAATTCAATATTTTATTCTTTTGTCTATGCTCTAATGCAAGTTTGAACGTATCAGTATAAACCAAATCAGCCTGCCAATTCTGTAAAACCCCGTCTCAATCTTCACAAATATTCTTAGTTTATTTATTTCCTAAAGACGGAAAGTACGATCGTATTTGTATGAATGATATATGGTGTACATCAGTTTTACTTGTGGCTGACGCAATATACTTACTTTAGTTTGATGTTTCAGAGTGGTCGAGGGTGAGATGACGCGGACACCTGTATGAGAGTCGATCAGCGGCATGAGTCGCATGAGAGGTCGCCATCAGTTCAAGCGACGGTTCAGTCTTCAGCCGTCCTCGTTCCTCAGGGAAGAACCGTCCACAAATCACAGGTAATATAGAACTCAGACAACTACTGTAACACGTTCTTGCCTAGTGTCCAACAGACGGTTCATTCTTCAGCCGTCCTCGTTCCTCAGGGAAGAACCGTCCACAAATCACAGGTAATATAGAACTCAGACAACCACTGTAACACGTGATTTCCTAGTGTCCAACAGACGGTTCAGTTCCAGTACAAACAAATCCTCTACTGAGCGGTTAAGTGATTGTGAGGACGATTCTGATGGAACGAAACTGTTAGCTATTGCGATTAGCTAATCTCATTAGAAGGGTTAAGAATTCTCAAACAGTACAGGTTGAGATTTTCGAATGAAATTATGAAGCATTGCATTTGCCCGTCCACATAGACTACAGATCTGTGCGTGGAACGTATCCAGCAAAGCAAGGGGTGAGCCGGTACAGTACAAAGGAGATCTGTACTGATAAAGTTTAGTGGCAGTGACCAGGATCCGAACCCAAGACACCACTGCCTTGGGCCCGAAGTCCGTGACGCTACCAACTGAGTCACCGACTCACCAAATAAAAGTCCTCTATAGTTTGAATCCTCAATAGTTATAGATTAGTGTTATTGTACTATTTATACAGTATAACTACTATTTTGTAAAATTATAGGGCAATTGATGAACAATTTTCGTAAAAATAGGAAACATTTAGTATAGTTTGATTCATGTTTATTTTATTTGACTTAGGAACGTTTGCATATATCTGTAACATGTTTTGCGGTCCATGCATCTTTGTATAGGTAATGATTTTCTTGGTTACAGTAATTCTTTACACTTTTCTATGCACGCTGTCATTCTACGTAATTCTTAAGTGTTGTGTTTGGACAATGTAAATGTATGGTTACAGGAAGCGTTGTTATAAAGCGTTATAAAGCGTTGTTAAACGTTTATCTTGCAAGAAATATAAATATAGCTCATTTTGAAATTGGTTTGGCTGCAATTAAATAGTATTCGGGAAACAATCAATACATGAGAAATTGTGTGTTGCGCAGCTATTTATCTAAACCTCCACCTTCTTGCGGTATTTAATACAATTTAAGCTTTTTAAAGCAAATTGTTTTTGTCTCAGCTGTGAAATCTATATATATAAAATCCAATGTATGTTTGTATATTTGTATGTTTGTATATTTGTATGTTTGTATATTTGTATGTTTGTCCTTTATGGACTCCGAAACCGCTCGACAGATTGTAATGAAACTTTTAGGCATTATTAAGCATTATTCAAGGATGGTTTGTGTGAAGTTTGGTGCAGATCCGTCAATAGGGCTCCGCCCCAGTGGCTCTGCAGTTTCCCATGTTAACCTTATGAGTACTCATATTTAAATGGAATTAAAGAATCTTAACAGCTGGTGCAGCTAAACAATTTGATTCTGTGATGTTCAATAGCATTAAAAAGTTAATAGGTTTACCAACAGGGTGCAGCACTATATATTTTTTTAATTTATGAGAACAGCTAATTTGCAACCAAAAGGTGAGTGAGCGTAGCGAACGAACTTCAACCTGGAGGCGAGTTAGCGTAGCGAACGAGCTAACCTGAAGGCAAGTGAGCGCAGCGAACGAGCTCCAACCTAAAGGTGAGTGAGCGTAGCGAACGAACTTCAACCAGGACGTGATTGAGCCATGCGAACGAGCTCATCTTGAAAATGAACGAGCATGTGACATAAAACCACAATAGGACAGGACGACGTCTGTCGGGCCAGCTAGTATCGTATAAAATAGTGATGAAATAGTATAAAAAGTCATGTTAGTTAGTTTATAACAATTTTGAAAACAAACACAAGTTAAATCAAAATCTTCGCCTTTGGCCCACGTCACACTCTACTTCAAACTCCTACAACGGTCTCCAAGATTTATAGTTCATTCTGTTCTTTCCTTCTCCAGTAGATATTAACTACATATTTTACTCTGATTAGTGTTTTCCTCTGCATTAGTTTCCTTGGGCTAAAAAGATAAATTGGGTGATAAAAGCTCGAAACACCAGTCAGGATATGTAGCAATATTGATATTCCTTTAACTAATAACTCAGCATTTAATGTTTATCACATTTTCGTCGGTTCACTTATTTCATAATTAAAACTTATTAATTGAGACAAGTCAAAACTTGCTTGAATATTATAATATGCATATATATACCAGAAAATAACTGTAGTTCATTAATGATTATTATTGATTACTTGAATATTCTACAAAATTTGTTGCATTGCCATATTAATTCAATAAGTTACATTAAACCCAAATACGTTTAAGAATCAATTTATTCGAACTAAAATTATTTACATTTTACCCTAACTATGTTGTTTCCGGGTCATTCATCAATTCATATACTCGTGTACTCGTGTGTTACATTGATTAATCTATGCACGATCATATATTTATAAATGCAGTAGTTATAACCTAACATTTAGGTAATGTTTAGTGCCCCCATAGGCTGTAAGATTCTTAATTTAGTCATTTATTTTGTTAATATTGACAAAACACTACAAACCTTAAGCTACGTACATTTAATTCAACTTTTTGAATGGCCCTTAGTGATGTTTTTTTTTTTTTTTTTTTTTTAATATAAACTTAATTTTTCAATTTTTTTATTATCGTATTTAATTTAGTTTTGAGTAAGTTTTTGTGTTGCTTTACTTTTATGTTTAGCTGAATGAACGTAACGTTTTTTTATTTATTTGACGACTTTAAACTATAACTTAACTATAACTTATTGTAAATAACTAAAAGAGACGACGTAAACAGTAAACATTATATAAAATAATTAAGTTTGTTCATGATTTATGTTTATACGTATATTCAGGACCAATATGTCTTTGGATATTTTCTTGCATGTTAAATATCCAATCGAGGAACGTTTGCTGTGCATCCATCTTATTAATCTGACCTTCTATATAGTATACTTAACACAATAAGGATTTTCTCCGTAACACCCCTTTTGCACCAGTCCTACACAACCGGTTTATACGATTGAGGTGGAATTATAAAGCTTATGATCAAGCGGAGTGACGTTTGGTAATTAAAAAGGTAATATCCTCTAGGCCTTCACCCCCTACTCTTTGTTTCATTCCTGGAGAGAGCTTTCAAAGGTCCATTGATGCGGATTAACTTTCTTCATGGCAGTATTTAAGGTGAATTAATTGTAGTGTAACAGCTGCCTACTTCAGTTGGTTGTTTGACAACAGTCGGATTGTAAATAAGAGACACAACATTTTATGAAAAATAATAATAAATAGGCTACTTGTACTGATAATTAAAACATGATAGAGGTATCTACAATATAATTTTTATGGTATAAAAATACAACATACCTATTTAAAGATTATAAATAATTATTTTTATAACTGGCCTAATTAGGTCAAACAATCAGATTATAATATTATTTATCATGTCAAGGTGTTTTATTTGATGTTAATTTGTTTCAGCTATAACTGTCACCTTTAAAAGTTAAAATGGTATTGTTTAGTTCGTTATGCTTCAGAGACGGTTGAACCCCATTATAGTGCACAATTTGTGCACGGGTCTCCTCACAGGATATAAAACCGTATATGTTGGTGGCCAGATTGTATGGCTTAATTTTATCGTAATGAAGATTTCAAGGCCCTCCTGCGTAAACTGGCTCTTAATAACTAATTAAATACCCTTACAACCTCATTGCTGAGATTGTATACGAGATTGTATATCATGTCGTGCAGAGTAGTACTTGGGTAGAAGAACAGGAGTAAGAAAAGCCATCATGGCAATGTGTTACGGTATTTTAATTATTAAATTCTAAGCAACTCTTTGATAACAAATCCCTAATGTATCAAGTGAAAGTAGTCACTGAATAAGTGAAGTAGATACGTTAATGTCTGGGAAAGAAACTTGAATATAGAACTACAATGTAAGATCGATGTTGTTTACGTGAATTGTTGCCAAATTCGTGTTTGGTGTTTACGAAATGATAATCCACAGAGGACGAATACGACCTCAGAGAAGGTGCTTTCTCATCAACTACACAGTAACACACGTCCAAACATTTTGGTACATTATTTACTATGATTTACTGTGAGACGTAACATAGAATCAGTCAATATTTATCACAGGCTCTTAAATTTAGTAATAAAGTATTCAGCTCAGAAAAATATAGCTGTAAAATTTCTTCTAAATAAGTATTTTAACATTTCTGTATATTAGTTATAGGTGGTGAACGATTTTTAATATTCTTTTGTTTTGCTTCAAGTGTTTATAAGACATTACAAAAATATTAATTTTCTGTAAAATATAGTATTATTTTTCTCACCTTTTATTAATGTTAACTCTATTACAAAACTTGATGGTTGCCTAGGGAAATCTAAAATTATGTAAAAACTGTCGTGTAATAAATGAACGAATATGAACAAGCCATTACTTAATGTCGAGAATGCTTGAGGATGGAGGGCACATTGTTGTTGAATAAATGGCGTCATTCCACTTCGCCAGTGACTTTGCTTTTTTACTTAAATGCCTTGCATACTTTAGGTAACTTGTCTATTCATGTTTAGTTGGATATTTTTTATGTTAAAGTAAATTGTAGGTTTCTAGTTCAATAAATCGTAATGCATTTAATTCCTATAATTCAAAAAGCAAGCAAGGACACCTTAACTGTATTGCAAAACATAGCCGTTGGCTTTTTTCGATTCCCATAAACCCACTTAATGAACAGGGAATTGACTTCAGTTCTAGATGAGATAAGTCGGTCTCTTCTGACCCCAAACTCCCCCCTCCCACCAAACATGAAATACTAACCAGCTTCTCCACTGGGCACATGAGGACAGTTGCTAAAATATCTTGAACTAATCTGAACTTATAAAACATTGCGTTATCAATGTTGATTATTATCTTATACATATTGTTCAATCACATGAAGCTTAATAGTTAAATCATGTAGCTAAGGATTATGGAATTAAATTATTAAATTAAGGTGAAGAAAACCTATTAACTGAAATAATCAAAACAAATTACACGAATTTACAAGT